TGCTGAGGCGGTGTTGTTGGTGGCGTCCCCTGCAACGGGCGACTGCCTGGTGTGGAGTTACTGCTGCTGCGGGCACCCCGCTGACCACTGTACGCGAAGGAGGCATCGGGGTGCGCCAGACGCACCTGGATTCTGTTGCCACCTATCACATGGCCAACAAGGTTTGAAATCGCCAGCTCCGCCGAACGCGGATTTCTGTACAGAACAAATCCGTATCCCTTGGACTGCCGCGTTCCCTTCGCTCGCATAATTCGTGCTGAAGTAATGGGGCCGTACGGTGCAAATAGGTTAAATAGTTGCTCATCGTCAAATTCAATGGGGAGGCTTGCAACATACACGTTGCGCCCGAATTCCGATTGGTCTACCGGCGTTTGAGTAATCATTATCTTTTGTTTTGCCTTTTACCGTTCTTCTTTTCTTGTTCCCTTTTGTTTCCCTTTTTTTTTGCTTAAAAAGGGCAATACACGCTGCTCACTTTGCTGCTCGGCTATCCATTAAAAGAACAGAACAAGAATGAAAAAGAAGTAACAGTACCATGCATCGTTCTTCAACCCCTCCCATCTCCCTCTTTGCCAAACGGAGGGGCTCGCCACAAATAAGTATGCCATCGACGCGTTTGTTTCGTATTTTTATTTTCACAGTGAACAAAATTGTCGTACCTTTGCGTCTTCAGGAAATGGAGGCCACAACTGTGCACTCCGTTGGGTGATGCCAGTCGCCACAAACAAAGCAACGAACACTTGGACCTCCTTTTGGTGCTGCCAACTTACGAGGACAGCACCGAGCCACATGGTCCACTTCACCACAGAAGAAACAAGACTTCTTCGCCTCTCTCTGGTTTTTCTCAGTTTCTTCGGGTGGAGCCAAAGGAGCTGTGAGAGGAACTTGGGGCTGCCGCCTATCGACGATGGTTAAGTTTCTCACGCTCTCAAAATCATCCTTTAGCAGCTTAAGGATAGCACGAACAACCACGCTGCTGGCCGATTCCCAGCTCTGTGAGGGATCATTAATTTTTTGGCTAAGGGCGGAGTCAAGTTGGTCCTTTAGATGTTTCAATAATGCTGCATCCTCACTCTGACACTTAAAAGCAGTCATTTCATCCACCACAAGCTCACCATACTTTGGTAGGTACTCCAACTTACCACCGCTAAAAAGTATAACATGCAACGGTGTCACCATCGAAACGTCTCGCAAAAACGTGGCAGACGTCTTCACCTTGTCGACATATACGAGAAGAGGCGAGGTGAACCTCTTTTCTTTGCCTGCAACACTAGAGGGATGAACCAAAACCTCCGACCCATCAAATGTCGTGATATTAACAAAGCAACCCCCTTTTCTATTCGCATTGGTTTTCACTCGAGCGATGTTTGGGTAAAGGCCAGCAACAATACAGGAGAGAATGCACTTTACACTCCGAGCGTTGGTGTTGAAAAGCGCCCCACCAGACTCGTAAATACAGTCGTCAAGGGTGATAACAGGCTCATAAAGGAAACGATCAGGAGATGTCTGAGTCGGTTTGTCCTCGATGAAACCTGCCTCGAAGAGGTAACGTTCATACTGTCGTTTAGTTGCCTGAATCTGTCGGAGGGTTGCCGGGGAGAGATAGTAACGAGTGCAGAAGTTCCTTCCAGCAGAATTTCCCTCCTTATGTTGCACCGCGATCCAGCGAGCATAGGCGAACCATGACACCAAATGATCTGACATGTATTCACCAGCAAGTGCTTTCCGTACTCCCTCCACCTCAGTTTTATAATCCATCGCGGACAGAAAAGGACTTCGTATGGCAAGACAAGCTGCAATCGTCAACACTGGATCCACACAGTGCAAAATAGCCCCATGAATAATCATTTTTCCAATGCGCACATCTAGCGGCAAGTTTGCCAAGTGCTGTCCAAGAGATGTTAGGTGCTTATTAAACGTTAGTGCTCCAAGAGTTGTAAGAGCTTTAACACTACTTCGCACTGCGCGCTCCTCAGGTGGCGAAAGAGCCTTTTGAAGGTACTCCACTTCATCACCCAAATTGAGTGAATAGATCTGCAGGACAAGACTTTCAAGGGGTACGCGATGCATTTCGCATAGTTGATGATCCTCCAATGCCTCGAATTGTGCATTGGTGAACAAGCGAAAACAAAAACCTTCCCTCACACGTCCGGCACGCCCTTGGCGCTGTCGGCAGTTTGCTTTTGACACATTCACTGTCACCAACTGTGAGAGACTTTTCTTAGCGTCGTATCGATTTTCTTTAGCCTTGCCACTGTCGATGACGAATACTGCATCATCAATGGTAATAGAGGTCTCCATAATGTTCGTTCCGATGACTACTTTGCGTTTCCCTTTCGGTGGCCGCCGAAAGACACCTTGTTGCTCTGACGAACCCAAAGAACTATGAAGATTATAAATCAAGCAACTTTGGGCCAGCTTGGGGTTAGACCTTAGTTGTTCCATACACCGCACTATCTCTGCCATACCAGGAAGAAAAACCAAAATGGCTCCCTCCATTCTCATCACAGTGTCGATGTGCGCGACAATATACTCAATGAGTTCGTAATTGATGATGTCAAGGTTCATCCTTAGAACTGTCTCTAGAGTTTTCGGCGCCACATTCATCTTCGCAACAAGGCTTTGCTCGTCCGCGACTATCTCACACGCTTCTTCAACCTCGTCAAAGTCAATACTTGTCATATGCTTTCGTGTGTTACGACGCCGCTCTTCTTTCCTCACCTCCCACTTAGCGTACGGTGACCCGTCCTCAAGTGTATAACCAACCATGGGAATGACATCCTCTAAATGAAAGACTTGCACAGGGAATGTGCGACCTTGAATAGAAATAATGGGGGCCCCACCAAAATAACGGGCAAAGAGCCCGGAGTCCATTGTTGCGCTCATCAACACCACCTTTAGGTCTGCTCGACGCTTGATGAGGTCACGCAGTAGGATGAGCAGAAAGTCCGTATCTACGCCACGCTCATGGATCTCGTCCACGACAATGTGGCTGACACGACCCAGAAACTTCTCGACCTGCAGACGTCGCAAAACGATACCTGTGGTGCAGTAGGTTATCTGTGTACGCCTCGAAACACAATTTTCCAGACGAATTGTATAGCCCACCACACCACCCACTGCTTCATCACGTTCCTCTGCAACCCGAAGAGCGACAGACGTTGCAGCCAGCCTTCTCGGTTGAGTACACACTATATTAGCTGAACTACCTCTACCTTCTTCACACATAAACTCATAAAGATACTGCGGTATCTGTGTCGTCTTGCCGCTACCGGTCTCGCCACCAATAACTACAACCTGATGCCTTGAAAGTGCTTCTTGAAGCTCTTCACGAGCCTGAAAGGCGGGCAATTGTGCACGTGCATTTTTCATTGTTCCAGCAATTTTAAGTGTTTCCCATTCCATCATTAGTTTGGTGTCAAGTTCCTTATCACGCTTCAGAAATTCACGACGTATATAATCCTCCTCACGATGTGTGTAATCGACTGTATTGAGCTCAACTTTCGGTGGCATAAAGCACGACGCAGGACGGGCATCATCAGTCGGCGAAGGAGCTCTCTGAGGAGCTGTTAGAGCGCCCGCGAACGCCTCTCGTTGTGCGGCTAAAGTAGTTTTCTCATCTCTGGCGGTCTGCTGTTCCTTTAGTGATTGCCGCTCGTTTTCTGGCCTAGGTAGATCACTAATCGACGAAACAGCTCCATGAACAGCAGAGAGTAAAGCCACAAGACAGCCTTCACCTGCAAGACCATTAATAGCTTCAACCGCAGCATCCAGCACGGACCGACGCGCAGCAGCAGATACCTCCTTCGTGTCTGACGGAAGAACGGCTAGAATAGGCAACCCCCCACCAACCTGTTGTTTGCGCGGCTGAATAAACACAAGAGGTGGGTCAACAGGGTAGTGGTCAGGGATGCGAACAGAGATCAGCACACCCTTCTCATTTTCGGTCAAAAAAGAGAAGTAAAGCTCACGGTCCTCGACATCGTCATCATCAAAGTTCCTCATGCCCAAGAAGCTGTCCTCAAACAATGTTTGTACAGCTTCAACCTCCCCTTCAAGTATTTGATCCCCCTCTTCATCTGTCAGAATCACCTCCACCTCTTCTCGACTATACCACAACATATACGAGAACAAATCAAAACAACTCTTCACGAGAAACGGCTGACAGAGCCCACCTTCACTTAACAATTCCGTAATGGAAGTAAAGGGTGGTAGCCTTGATTCCCCCATTAGATCCGTCACGTACTGTGTGGTAAGGTCTGGTGGGAAACCAAGTCCTTCGTAAAGCCTTTGCAGGATTTCTGAAGGAGTTAGCGGCAAGTTACGTTGAAACGTAATACGCGACCCCGAACTTGGGTCAAAATGCTTTTCGGGGACAGGCACCACACCACCGGTTGCTGCATGATGAAGGACATCAATGATCATGTCTCTCCCAGCGCGGGAGAGCATCGAGGGTGGCGCCTTTGGCGGTGGTGCAGCACCGCGTCCACCACGCCCACGCCCCCGACCGCGTGCGGGCTCCCTCGCCTTTCGCTGTCTATTCGGACCCATACCTTCACTTCTACTCCGACTACTACCACCACCACCACAATTACTACTACCGGGTGGGGAATAGAAACAGATGAAGGAGCAAACAAAAAGGAAAAGAGAAGGCACACTAGAGAAGGAGAATCATAGAGCAAAGCGCAAACATGCGCATCTAAGCAAACAGAAACAATAGGGTAGACACACACCCCAGTGCACGTAATGTCCCTCAAAAGAAACTCAACAACAGCTGATGACGAAGAAGAGCCTCTTGGGCCCTTATCCTTTTTTTTGGGGAAATCATTGATATCTGATCCTGTTTGTTGCAATTCGTTCTCACTGTTTATATCGAGTTTGTATTCATTTTCCTTTTTTATTATTACCGTGACTTTTTTCGTTCGTTTTCCACATTTTTTTCTTGACGAAATTGACCCTTGCCTTGCATTTCTTTTCAGCACGTACTCATAAAGACCAAAAGGAGATGGAATAATAATAATAAAAAAATGGCTCCGTGAAATTGCTGAACTCTGACATCTCTGCGCGGATCAGCTGTTGGGCACTGGCCGGTTGGTTGTTGCATCGTAAGAAGTTGTCTTTCATAAGTTTGTAAAAGAATCTACAGAACACGAAAAAAGAAAAAAAAACATGGGAATACACTCTTTTATAGTAGTAATTTTATATGTGGTGTTCTCTTGTTCACTGTCCCATTATGTAGGGCTGTGGATATACCAGGACAACCGCAGGCTCCGCGACGTTGTATAGCATCGCTTGCTGGCAAAAAAGAGGATAAACCTTCTTCGCCGAGGCCTCTGGTCGGGCAAGGCGCACTTGAACACGAGTGTTGCCAACAGTATGGCCTTGAAGAGCAATAACAGCGTTGTATGCGTCTTGGTGCCTTTCCATAAGCACGAATCCGTAACCTTTGCACAACCCCGTGTTTTTGTCCTTCACAAGGGCTGTGGAGACGATTTTCCCGTAAGGCGCAAACAATGCACGAAGCTCTTCATCTGTGTAGTTGCGCGGGAGACTTGCAATGTACACGTTGCGATTGTACGGTGATTCGAAGGACATTTTTAATTGAGAGTGAGCGTTCACTTCGTTATTCTATTCGATGCAAAAACGAAAAAAAAAAACGGGGACGAGAACAACAAAGGAGCTTCAATCAATGTAGTAGTATGCCTGTTTCCATCACCACACTCCCGACACCGCGGAGAGCCCCAAAATTAGAGAAAAATTGAAACGTGCTACAACACAATAAGACAAAAAACCTCAACCTCGCTTAGAACTTTTATAGGGTCTCGTTTTTTCGATATCCTCAATATCAAGAACCCTTTGCCGTTTTCCACCTTGTCTACTTTCTTTAAAGGCGCTAGGGCACAATTGCCTAGCTGCACACTCAGAGCAGTGTGGAAAGCGAGGAGAACATACAGTTTGCCCTAATCCCACTAAAACCTCATTAATCTCACCCCAATACTCGCGCGGAAGCCAAGATTCAAGTGCCTTTCGTGTATCTTCCGGTGTCTTCACTGTCATTGGCACCCAATTGAAACGCTGCGCTATGCGGTGAACATGCGTATCCACTCCGATGCCAACCACCACACCGTCAGCTGCTTGTAGGAATATATGTGCCATTTTGGGCCCCACACCTGGAAGAGCAATCAGTTCCTCGTAAGATTGCGGCACACATCCTTGGTGTCGCTTTAAAATAGAGTCAGTTGCTCCTTTGATATGTTTCGTCTTCATGTTATGAAAACCCACTTTCGAAATAAACTCATCGAGCTTCTTCGCAGGCATTTTTGCTATTACCTCCGGTGTGCAGCCATGCTCAATCAACGAATGCATTGCTGCTGCAGTTACATGATCTTTTGTTTGAGCGCTGAGCATAAGTGCAAGTAGAATTTGATACCGCCTCGTTTCGTTTGAGGCCGATTTGTCGAATAACTTTGAGCATCCCACCGTGTCTACCGGGGCCTCCGTTGTCTCCCTGATCTCTTTTATTTTGGCATACAGTTTGTCCCAGTTTAGCGGCGGTATGAACACATTTTTCTTCATAACCCCTCCTAAAGGGAAGCAAATATTTTTGAGAAAAAGGAAATGTTGTATACATTCTTTCTTCCCAAACTCGATGCATCCCCCTTCCAACAGGAATAAAAATAAACAATATATATATATATATATACCGCCAATGCCTTCACACTATATCAAACCCCTTACACTGTTTTCAGTTCTTCCATTTCATTTATGTATGTGTATGAGGAAAAAAGAACAAAAAGATAACGAAACCACACTAGCTGCGTCTTATGCATCCTCATTGCAAAGAAACTCGTCAGGATTGATATAGGTGGCATAAGAATAACAAACCGATGGTGATCCTCCTGAAGACATCCCCGAAATATGTAACTGACGACTGAAAGCACCCCACTGTATTTCCTCAACAATCCTCTGGTGCGCAAATTCAAAAATACGATCCCAGGAGGCATATTTTCTTTTGCAGAGCGAACACCACTGTGAACTGCAATGTGGTTAGGGTGGTAGGACACTCCCCATCGGTCGAATGTAACGACCGTGCGAACACTCTTGGCCTTTTTAAGGTATGAAAACACTTCTTGTCTAATTAGGTCACTATCCCATGATCTGTTCAGCCCATCTTGCAAAGAGGGATGATTGACAACTTTCACATTGTTCTTGTGGACCCCAAAGTACTGTCCGCTACGATAGAGCTCCTTCTCGCGAGCCGCACCAAGGCCCGCGTAGTTTCCGTTTGAGAGGCAAAGAAAATGCACTTTTAAGTCATGCTGCCTCAGATATTCCAACAACGGAGAAAAAAACATCGCTTCGTCATCCGGATGGGCAAAAACAAGAAGAACATCCCCAAGTACACGTGGACTAATTGCAGCTGCCTTGCGTTGCCACTGGAGAAGAGCCCCTGCTACCACCGCAACAACACACACCACAAAAAGACTAGGCATTTTTTTTCCTTCACACCTACACAAACTTACAATGAAAACATCAATGAAAAAAGATCAGGAAACGACAAAAAGAGAACAAAAGCCGATAAAAAACTACCCAACAGAAATGCTGACAGCAGCTTATACCATTCCGATCACTAAACACAGCTCCCAATCAATCCACTCTTGTATATTTGTAATATACCACTGTAAGAGGTGATAAAATACACAGAACGTATAGTATCCTCAACTACACTCTATAGACGGAGTCTGTCTTTAAGGTCATTGAGTTTATCCAGCTTCCTTAGTGTCACGTCATCATGGTGTTGCTCGTGTTGTCGTCGTTGTTGTCGAGCTTCCTCTAAACGACTCTTCTTGGATACACTGCGAGCAGCATCTTCTTCAGTAACCACATTGAAGAACTGAGGCGTTAGAAAAGACCCGTTGGACATAATAGCACCACTCTCTGTAGCTAGCTCTGGAGAAAATCGGAGGGGACGTCCTCTCTTTTTGGTCTGCATCAGAAGCCGATATTTCTCTTCCTCGTATTTCTCGCGCTGATTTTCCCATTGAGCTCTTTCCTCTTCCAACAATTTATCCTTCGCAGCAAGCGAAGCCTCATATCTTTCGAGATACTGTCTCATATCACGTTGTGTTTCCTCTAACTGTTTCTCCCGCAGGCCAAGCTCTAACTGAATCTTCATCTCTTTAGCCTTCCATTCTTTTTCATGCACCGCCACAGCACTGCTATTCTTAATCCTTTCTCCCTCCAGAATACCAGCGAGTCGAGAAACTTCTATGTTTGCTGAAGCACATTTTTCTTGAGCCTCACCTAGCCTCTGTAGTAAATCATTTCTCTCCTTCGCAGCGTCAGCGGACTTCTTCCACTCCTCATCTAACATATTCAGGACGTTTTTTTGCGATAAATAAATCTCTTCTTTCAATGACTCCAATTTTTCAGCAGTCATTTGCCATGAGTTCGCTAGTTCAACTGTTGTTGACTTCAGAGCCTCATTTTCCTCCTTCAATTTCTGGACTTCCTCCCTAAATGCCTTCATGGTGCTCCTCCAGTCACCTTCTTCCCGCTTGGCAGACCCCGCCGGTGATGGTGAAACAGTAGTAGGCTTGTTGCCTGCCAGTGCCTTTTTGGAACTCATCATCATCACCTTTATAAATTAGAGATAAAAGAGAAGAGGGGGAGGAGACCCACAAAAAGAAAACAGTTTAAGCAACAAGAACAACAACAAAAAAACAGCAAGCGAAGCAAACAAAGCAGGGATCAGCCAGAGACACTTTTTTTTGTAGAGTAAAAAAGAGGGGGGCAGGGGGAGACACACATTCTCTGCGGGCGTTCACCATCGTTTTTTTTCTCTTGAGGTTCAACCTGAATGACCGTCAGCGGCCGTAGGTCCAGACTCTGTAGACAGAAAGAAGGCCAGAAAAGAGACCACATATGCTGGCTAGACCACGAACACTGTCCCAGCGCTTCAGATACGACATGGCCACGAAAAGATCAAGCAACAGCTTCAACTCTGTAACAAAGATCCAATGCAATTCAAAGTCTTTCCACAACAGTTCTTGATACGAACCCACCACTATATCATTTGCTTCTTCCACCTCCACAATTTGATTCTCATTTTCGTCATTGTTCACCTTATTTGCAAAATTTGCTTTACTCATTCTGCGTCGTAGTTTGTCAACTCGATCATATCTGGACAACAGAGAAAATGAGTCTTTTGAAAACAGGAGTTCTTTTTCTGTTGTTTGACGGGACGCGTCCAGAATCCCCTGTAACAGCCGTAGCGTGTTGAGGAAGAGGTCAATCAAAAAAACAGGTAGTGTGCACCGAACAGCCAAGCTGATAAGTTGGTCAGCCACCTGACTGTGAAAGAAACCCTTTTGTACAAGAAAAGCAACATCTTCACATGACGATTTAACACACATTAGGGCCCGGGCTATCATATCACATATCATCTGACACTGGATAAAAACAGCAATCCACTTTCCACCGCTGACCGGAATGTAAACAAGTTCCGAACACTTGATTAAGGTTACCCTCATCCTCACAAACTCACCAACAAAACGCCCTACACGAAACAGTCGCCGCGTGTTAACAATGGTCATTAACCTTCTCTCAACTGCGCTGAATTCCGCACCAGGAACATAGTTGGGATTGTAGTCCACCGCGTGCATCCATAGTTTTACCCTAAGAAAGTATTGAAGAACTTTAAACAATTTATCTCTGCCCTGATATGTTTGTAACAGCTGCCTTAGACGCGTCTTTGCCGTTATATCTTCAAACGGATCACTTCCCAAAACACGAAGAGCGTCATGACGCATCCCTGTGAAATAAAAAGAAAACCTAAAATAAGATAATAATAATTAAAAAAAAAAGAATTACGACCAAAAAAAAAAGAGTCCGACTAAACAAAAAAATCCATGGGATGAGCAAATACTGAATTTGAAGAACAGAAAAGATCAAGTGCCAACCATAGAATCTTAACCGGGTGCTTTTCTTCACGTGTGAAACAAGAACTCCACAGCAGCTCTCCTAGTCAAAACTAGGATCGTTTTCTCACAAGATCCAACTCACTATTGGTGAGCGTACCCATAATCCAGTCGGCATTCAGACACCTGCACATCCTCAATTGTGTTGCATTCCACTTTCTAGAATTTAGCTTTTCCACCAAAGTCTGCAAGGCCCTGTGTGCACTTCCGAGAACCTTGTCTCCCATTCCATCGCTATCCCTTTCCTTTCGCCTCTGTTCCTCTCGCTTTAACCTGGCTGCAGTTTTATCGTCAACCTTTAACTTGTACACGAGTCGGCCACGCAGAGTCCGTGGACCAACAACCTCATCAGCATCTTGTGTCGATGAGGAATGTTCACGATTGGGACGTATATCGAGAGCGCTCCAAAGAGATGGATCAGGTAGTAATGCATTGCATGGGTAGAATACATTTGATGCAATAGTCGCGTGCTTTAAAGGAGTCGCTGCTTCAAACAAAGGTTCTTGTTCCTCTTTACGCGCTTTGGTCAGGTCGTCTATAAATTCAAGCCACTCAATGTCCTCATCAGAACAAGGGATGTAATTACCTACTCTGTAATGCTCAATCATGGATTTGTGTGTAAAGTCTACACAGTGTTCAGCACGCCTCAGAAGCGTTTTCGGTAAGGAAGGCAATCCTAAGACGGATTCAGCATTTACCAAATTATTCCAACCTGCGCGTACCAACCCTTCGTGTTGTGAAGAGGAAAGGAGCTCAATCTGACGCTCTGCATATCCAAGAACTTCACGCTCGTCTTGCCGCCAGAGGTGGTATCTTACTGCCTCATTAGACAACAGTATTGCGTCCTTCAATGACTTTACGACAGAAGACACGCCCCTCTCATACACCTTGGAAGCCATCTGCAAATCACCAGTGATGCACTGCTCTACAGATGCCCACTGATAATATATTCTCCAATCTGTGATACTTTTAGCAACAGCAGCTTTCCCAATATCCCGGAACCGTTTTCGGGTTTGGAATGAATCATTAACACTATTGGCGAGCAATCGCTGCTCAAAAATACCTCGACTCACAATGTCATTTGGCGCCTTAATTGAATCAATACCCGACTTGGATAGCAGCGCTTCCAAGGAACACAATGCAATAGACTTCTGACCAACACATTCACGTCCTCTTTCAAGAATTTCTAGAGCCTGTGCTTCATCTTTCATGTCTACTGCAACAAAGCAAGCATAGGCATACCAGCACACATCCTCTAATGCAAATTGGATACAAAGCTGGCGAAACGCAAGCTCAATTCTTCGCACATGCAGATCGTGTGAAATTTGACTTTCTTCAGAGCCATCCAACATTGATCGTAGTAAGGTGTTCCACTGACAACAAATCAGGTTCCTGCGAAACACACTGCATTTTTTAACGTCTACAAAACGGTCAGGCCAAGCTGGCTCTGTCTTCAGAATATCAGAAAACCGCACAACTTCAGATATTGGTAAACAATTCGGCATTGTCTCTCCGTCTTGTTTTGCCGCCTCAAGCTCAAATGTGCTATACACCTTATACACCAGATCGTGTTGATACAGAGGCACTCGCAAAGCTAGTTGAAACAGCTCTCGTTTTTTCCCCTCAGAGCACAGATGAATAGCCCGCAGCCACAAGGGAGCGCTGTAAGGATCAAGTCCGACTCCGTGTATCGCCTCCAAGACTATATCGTCATTGACAGGTATCCCTTTTTTTTCTGCATAATCAAAGTACGCCATCCACGTTTCTTGGTAAGCTGCATTTTCAATCATTTTTGCTATGCATTCTCCCTGTTCCTCTTCAGGAAGATCAAATACCCATCGTGCGCTCAAGGCAGAAGAGGGATTTGATCTAATATACTCACCGAGAAGCAAGGGAGACTGATTGTCGTCACTCAATTCCATTACTAGAAACCCCTAGAAGAAAAAAAAACACAACCNCCCCAAAAAAAAAAAAAAAGAATTCAGGTAATAATGATACAAACAACACAAAAAAAGGACAGAGTATAATTCCCCAATTAGTTATTCCAGAAAACGAAACAGCAGACATATTTCCTCATACTATTCTTGTCACTGACCCTGAGGGTGCAGTTTACCATGCGAAAAGTACGCCGATGGGCCACTGTGCATCCATTCTTCTTCCTGAATACGTTTAGAATAATCACGAATGACACGCCAGTAGTCACTCTCGCAACAAACCACTGGGGCTGTCACGTCCTCACGTTTCGTGTCCCAATGAGAGTCCATGATCTAATAGTATATGCACATCTACTGTCTACTAGAATAACTCTAAAATAAAACCCACCAACACGAAAAAACGCAGATTAATCAAGCTTGTAAAAAACATTTCAATTACTCATGAGGCCAACGTTCAAAATACCAAACAAAAAAATCAAACATTCTCGCCCTAGGCAATACACTACTACTATAGCTAATGATAATAGAAAATAACCCTATTCCGCAAAGAAAAAAAAACCCTTCCATACACCTCGTGCCTAATACGTATACTCTTTTCCGGTGTAGCCTGCCCAGCACTCCCACTCCTTCAGACCACAATCACGATTCAGACCGTTGTTACCCCAACCAAAAGCGAAACCACCACCAGGGTAACGACGATGGCGAATACGGGCAAACGGATTGTCGGGACCCTTGTAAGTGACATAGTGGTGCGAGTGCTGAAGCTTCTGATACATGATCCAAATAACAGCAAGCAAACCAACTCCAGCAATACGCGCACTCGAGCGGAGGCCGCCCATATAAGTCGGATTGAAAAGCGGGTCATCCGGCATCGGAAGCCGCCCAGTTCTGCAGGACGCCATTATACCTTTTAATATCTATCAAGAGTAGAATCACCAGGGTACAGACAAAAGGATAAAGTAACAAAAAAAACTCCATTGTTTTACTGATTGTATTGCTTTTTATGGTCAAAGCTTCAAAAAAAAAAGGCATATTAAGCTTTTCCTTAACCGAACAAAAAGCAAAGAAACGCTTATACACAGATCATTATGACTTCCTCCTTTTATAACGCTTTGTTAAGGGACATGCATCCTTCAGTGATATCATCAACTACAGGATCCATATTGTCCCAGACTTCATCACCAAGCGTTGTACACTTGCTCGGCTGTTTAGAGTTTACAATGCCGCTGAAAGCTGCAGTATTGTCTGCAAGTGGTAGTTGCTTGTCAAAAAGGATGCACGCCGTCTTCTGCTTCGTGTACATAGTCAACAGAAGTTTTCCCGTTGGAACATGGTATACTCTTGCTTTGCGATCTAAACCGGCGACACCAAGAAGTTGATGACCAGCAGGATGTTTAGTCATACTGCGCACACTTCCAACACCACCACGCAATTTCGCCCTGGACGCAAATCCACGCCTTGTGTCATACAAATGTATGTCACCACTTGCTTCTCCAATAAGAAATTTATTGCAATTCCACTGCATCAGTGTGGTTGGCCTTCGTTCAATTTCGCGGCTAATCTCGTATTCCTGTACTGGTCTTTCGTTGCTGCGACGATCATAAAAGCGCACTTGATGATACCCCGTGGTTGTACAGAACACAAAAGGATTAATGATACACGTCCCAGTTACGTAAACAGGGTACGGCACATCCAAAACGTGATCCCTCACATTCTTCGCCCGAAACACGGGAGTTGCGACATCCTGCGCAGAAAGATCGTAAACACAAAGATCATTTTCTTTGCCACCCATTGACATCATACCATATTTCCTATGAATGTGAAACGCCTCCACAGGCCCATTACACTCAAAAGCTTTTTCCGTCTCTAATTCTGCATTAGCAATCAAAAGTTTACCATTTTTGGAAACTACCACAAACTTCTCCTTCACAAAAGAAAGACTATTGGGTAGCGCTGCAGAGAGTCCTAGTTTCTTTGACCTTACCAGCATGCGCTCTCCAACATCCAAGATTGATACAACACCGTCATTCATTGAGATGGCCAGTTTTGAAGTGGAACTATCCATCCAGCACATACCAGCAATCCCTCTTTTTCTGTTCTGTTCCCCGTAGGTGAATGACAACGTGGCTCCTGTACTCTTCGAGACATCCCACACTTTCACCAGGCCAGTGTCATCTCCAGTAATACACGCCATGTCTAAAAAAAAAAACTCACCAAAATCAACACGAAAGAAATGGTATTAAAGGTAGAATATTGCCAAACAAAAAAAAAATACCCCAAATAATTGTCACAAGATTTAAAACGTCACCCCGAGCACACGTCAATAGATCAACGCGCAAGGTCAAAATACCTTTCAACTTCTTTCTCAGCGAGTTCAACTAAAACAGCAGCTTCTAAATGGACCTTCTGGCGTTTCAAAACATCTATGAGTTTGTTCTGCTTTCTTAAACAGTTGATAAGTTCATTTTTTTCTGAAGAAAGCTTGCTAACACTCGCGCGTAGTTGTGCAAAGCCTTCACCCTGGGAAATGCTCTTCGTTTCATTCATTTCATCAACCTTTGACCTCAATAACGCTATCTCACGGAGAGCGTTTTCAAGCTTACGATCCTTTGCGTCACCAGGACTTAACTGGGCGCTGCGCTGAAGCAAAACCATTTCTTTTTTTTGCGTTGCAACCACATTTTCCGCCACACTTAGCTTTTGCTCGGCCAATTTCCTATTGTAGAGCTCCGCATCCAACTTTTGCTGCATAACTACCAGTTGTCTTCCTAACTTTTCAGACTCTTCACGGCTTTTCGTCAGCGCAGATCTTAAATCGCGGACTTCATTGCTCTCACCCGACTGGTTGATCCTTTTCTTGTTTTCGCCTTTCAGGTCTCTGCCACCAGCGACAATCAACGAAACCGAACGCTTGTCGATCTCAGAGCCACTGAATGAAGCAGTCCCACAACCGCGCGACGATTTTTTTTCATCCGCGGCAAGGGAATTTGGATGCGCTAATTCAAGCCTGAACCTTTCGTCACCCACGTCAGCAAGATATTCTTCACCCTCAGGATCCATTGCGCGTCGCCACGGCCCATCTAGGAAAAAAAACCACACCAAACACGAAAAAAAACCCAAATAAGCAGAGAACCGCCGGCACACACCGCCAAAGAGAATCGGGCGCGGCAAAAAGCCAAACGGCCCCGCCTGCCGCCCTTCAAAAGAAAAAAAACAAGACTGCGGCGCCCAAAGGCCGGAGGAATCGCACCACACGGCGCGTTTTGCGAAGCCCGTCCCGGCCCGATCGGTCGGCCCGGGCGGGGTGAAGGGGGGAAGGGGGCCGCCGCGCTTCTCGGCAACTCTGGCTGCCCTGTTTTGCGGGGTGGTTTGCGCCCCGTGGTGTCGGATGTTTTCGGCGCCTCGGTGGGCGAAAGCGTTGGCCAGGGTTGCGTCGCGTTTGCGCGGGCGTGTGTTGGCGTTCCGCTGCTTTCAACCCGGGGGCGGTGATGGTTGCCCCTTCCCTCAGGCCTACTCGCGCCACCCCGAATATTTATTGGGTTTCTTTTGTGGTGGCCTATTCCCCCGAAGGCCTGCAATGCGTTCCGGTGGTCATGGCGGGCTTCGTTTCTTTTTTACCTGTCTGGCATTGCGGCCGTTCTGCCGCTTCGCGCTATGGCCGATGATGCTCCTCTTGTTTGGATCCTAACGGCTTTCTTGGCAGCTACGCTGAGGATCTGGAGCGATCGCGCCAGATTTAGGCGAAACGGGGGTATGAATGTGTAGTGTAGCCGTTGGCGTGGTTATGGGAAACGGGAAGGCCATTTAATGGGTTGCTTCTTGCTTGCGGCTGCCTTTGCGAAGGGGGAATAGCGAATTCGGGGTTCTGCCACACCGGTGGCCGTCGCAGTGGTAGTTTTTCACGGCTTTGAGAAATCTTTGAAAAGGCTACAGCGGCACAAGGGAATCGTTATGAAGAAATGCTGTGAAGATCACCACTCAAAGCATGGGGCCATTTTGGGTTGGTGAGAAATGTCCCTCGAAGCCTGTGGCGAGTAAGGTTTGTGACGAAGATGTGCTCTGCCCTTCATTTTTCTGAGCGTAGAGTAACGGACATGGAAATTGAGCAACCACATCAAGGCATTATGGTGAATCAGTGAAGAGTAACTACGTACAGCGGCGAGAATAGGTAGTTTGATTTTTTAATCTGTCTAGGGGAATGTTGTTGGCGAGGTTTTTGCTGGGTTGGTGTAAGCCGGGTGCTGTATTGGTGCTCTGCTTCCTTCGGAAGGGCTCTTCCATGAGCAGTGAAGATGATTGACAGCAATCTCACGGTGTAGGCACTGCCGGCAAAGTGTTTTTGGGGGAATGAAAAACGTGAACCAAGTTGTATATACAGATTGCCCGTCAGAGCACTCCTTCTCCTACTCTACAACGTGCAGAATGAGGCTGAATTAACAGCGGTGCCGGAGATGAATGTGGATGTGCCACGCAACCAGTATTTGTTTGGATTCCAGATGTAGTCTACTCCTACTGCAGAAATAAGTTGTGGGCTTAAGAGGTGGGTGGATGTAAACACAAAAAAACACTGGATGCGCATTGCTATTCTGCGGATGCGACATGTCGATTTGTGGGCATCATTGGCTGCTGGTGCACCGCTGGCGCGATGCGAGAAGGACTGACGAGGGAATGAAAGGGTTGCCGGGGGTGATGGGTGGCTCGTTACTGCGCCTATGCTCTTTAGGTGGTGTGGAATGGCGCAATGTAAAGAGATAGAGAGCAGGTGTGTGAAGCACTTGACTGGCAGGGGCAATGCTTTGTTGTGAACGTTCCTCTGTGTTCTCCTGGTGTGCGGAGCCGTATGGGCCCAACGCTCCATTTATGGTTGCTTGGGGGGTTCTGCCTTATGCAAACGGAAGAACGTAACATTCAAAATCATCTTGGTGTTGGCGGAAACGCATGACGCTGTGTGGGGTGTGATGCCTTTGGATGGTCATTAAGATATGTGAGTGTGTGTGTGTGCTTTTATCTTTGGAATTCGTCCGGAGGGAAACAAGTCTAGTTGAGTGGAAAAGTGTGTTGGGTTATTGCTGCTTCGACATATCCTTCACCTGCACGTGGCTGTTGAGAAGGAAACGATCAAGGAGCCCATCTTGCAGAAGTCGACACTAAATCAAGTTGTCGGTGGGTGTTCTTTTTGGTTTGTTCCTGTATACACTTGTGGTGCTCACCGTGTGTTCAAGGAACGGGGTGAAGGTGGGATTTCCTCTCGTGTCTGTGTCTCATTTGTGGTGACTGGTGGTAACAATACTTGAGTCTGGTTTCAAGGGGAGTGAGAAAGGTGTGTGTGCATGCCTTGTTGAGGGCTTGGCTTCTTCCCAAGCAACACAATACGAATCA